TCTCAGCTCTGGGGGCTCACAAACTACTAAAATGCTATCAACTGTGAGATGTACCATCATTCTATATAACACAAAGAAGTAGAAAAACAAAACCCCGCCAAGCAATTATGTCATTGCATTGACTGTAGGATGCATGCCTATTTCAGAGATGTTTAAACGTGAGCACTGTTTATCCTAGAATCTGTGAAATACTGTATTTTGGAAGTCTAATGCAAGCTCTGCTATAATAAGAGTTCTACCAAAGGTGCCATCGCCCTGAGAACACAGAGGGAAATATTCATTTTGACTAGAAAATCAGAGAATGCTAATAAAGAGGAAACAGTTGTGTGAACCCTTGAAAGTAGACCAGAGTTTAGACTTAAGCAGAAAGGCTGCATAGGAAAGCTTTATTGGAAGGGAGAACAGATGCTGAAGAGTTCAGAGAACACAAGCATCATGTGAGTGAACAACAGGCCACCTGGGAAATAACGAGGAGCCAGTGAAACAGGTGACAATTTGGAAATTTTGACCAGAGATGTGCTGAGCCAGGTGAAAAATTTCAAAAGATTTGGCTGAAAACCAATGATTTGACTCTTGAACTTCTCAGCATGTCACAGTGTAAAAGAGCTAAAAAAAATGAAAAAAAAAAAAAGTCAGATTACAGAGGAGAATTTCCTTGGAGACACCTGTCCCGGGGGACCTTTCTCTGTGCCATGTTCTTTTCTCACATCAAATTTAGCAAGGGGACTTTTTTTTTTTAAAGATTTTATTTATTTATTTGAGAGAGAGAGAGAGCGCATGAGCAGGGGGAGGGACAGAGGGAGAAGCAGGCTTCCCTTGGAGCAGGGAGCCCGACTGGGCCTGGATCCCAGGACCCCAGGATCATGACCTGAGCTGAAGGCAGACACTTAACCAACTGAGCCACCCAGGTGCCCCTAGCAGGGGGACTTTAATGGGGCAACTTACAGGGCTTAAGTTATGTGGACTCTGCCAATAGTTTACACAGCAAAGTAGTCCTCTTCAAGCCAGTCAGGTGCTTGTAAATTTGAAGGGCCAGGCATGGAACCTGAGATTGGTTGTTAGTTTAAAAGGGATCCATTCCAGATAGCGGCCTTACAAAACAAGTGGACCCAGGTTGTAAGGGGCTGTTGGGGAGCACTGCAAGCTGAAAGAAATTTGGGGAAGTTGGCTGAAGGAGAAGCCCTGCTTACACACAGGAATACGCATTCGAAGGAAGAGGCAGCTTTAAACATTGGCCAGGATCAGAAGCATGAGATGTTTTATTTTATTTTATTATTTATTTATTTTTAAAAATCCCTATTATTGAAATACAGTTGACATACAATGTTATATTAGTTTCAGGTCCACAACGTAATGACTTGACAATTCTATACATTACACACTGCTCACCATGATAGGTATAGTTGCCATCGGTCACCATACAACATTATTACACTGTTACTGATTATATTCCCTATCGTGTACTTTTCTGTGACTTACTTATTTTAGAGCTGGAAGTCTGTACCTCTTAATCCACTTCACCTATTTCACCCATCTCCCTACCTACCTCCCCTCTGGCAACCACCAAGCTTATTCTTTGTATTTTTGAGTCTGTTTCTGTTTTGTTTGTTCGTTTGTGTAATTTTTAAATTCCACATATAAGTAAAATTGTATGGTATTTGTCTTTCTCTGTTTTATTTCACTTAGTGTAACATGCTCTAGGTCCACCCATGTTGTCACAAATGGCAAGATCTCAGTTTTTTTATGGCTAATACTCTCTCTCTCTATATATATATGTATTTATCTATATATCACATCTTCTTCATCCATTCATCTATCAGTGGACAACTGAGGTTGCTTCCATATCTTGGCTATTGTAAATAAGGCTGCAATAAACATAGGAGTGCATATATCTTTTCAAATTAGTGTTTCCATTTTCTTTGGATAAATACTCAGAAGTGAAATCAGTGGGTCATATGGTATTTCTATTTTTAATTTTTTGGGAAACCCATACTGTTCTCCACAGTGGCTGTACCAATTTACATTCCCATCAACAGTGCACAAGGGTTCCTTTTTCTTTGCATCCTCACTAACGTTTGTTATTTATTGTCTTTTTGGTACTAGCCGTTCTGACAGGTGTGAGGTGATATCTCATTATGGTTTTGATTTGCATTTCCTTGATGATTAGTGATGTTGAGCATTTTTCATGTGTCTGTTGGCCACCCGTATGTCTTCTTTGGAAAAATGTCTATTCAGGTCCTCTGCCCATTTTTAAATCAGATTTTTGGTTTTTTGGTGTTGAGTTGCATAAATTCTTTATATATTCTGGCTATTAACCCCTTGTCAGATATATCATTTGTAAATATCTTCTACCATCCAATAGGTTGCCTTTTCATTTTGTTGGTTTCCTTTGCTATGCAAAAAAATTAAAGAATGAAACTCAACCACTTTCTTACACCATACACAAAAATAAACTCAAAATGGACTAAATACCTAAATGTGAGACCTGAAACCATAAAAGTCCTAAAAGAAAACATAGACAGTAATCCTTTGGACATCGCCCTTAGACACATATTTATGGATATGTCTCCTCAGACAAGGGAAACAAAAGCAAAAATAAACAATTGGGACTACACCAAAATAAAAAGCTTTTACACAGTGAAGGAAACCATCACAGAGCCATCTTATTTCAGGATGGTCAGATGAGAGCTTGCCTTTTCCCTTACCTCTCTTTCCTACTCCATGTTCTACCTTAGCAAGGTCAGAAACAACAGCTGACTAAGTGAGGGAGGAAGTGCATGAGACAAAAGGGGAATCTTCTCCCTTTTCTCCTGCAAACAGTAGTTTATCCCAGGACCCAGTTAGGGGAAGGAAAGAAATTTACCATTACATTAACGTTAGAGATTTGATTGACATATTCAACTGGCAAATTTAGTCACTGAATTCAGATCATGATTATAACTTAAAGGGAGTTTAGAAAGAAAAGAAAGAAAGAAAGAAAATCTAAGAGAAAAAAAATGGCCATGAGATTGTCTAAGTTTTCATTTGGAGTAGGGGACAGAATATTTACATTGAACAGTTTAAAAAGATGGTGAAAGATAAAAAGCAAGTTACTTTTATAATAACAACCCATTAATTCTGCTGTTTAACTTATAGGTTACACAAGGTAAAGGAATAGTTTAGACCGGATGGCATAGAACCTACTAAGAATTCTGGATTTTATTCTGTAAACTGGTGGAGAGTCATCAAAGGGTTTTGAGCAGGGACCACCGGAATCTCCTCCACGTGTTACAGAGTTTCAGTCCTTTGCATTAAAGTATTGTGTTTCCTTACATTGTGCACTTACAGAACTGTGCTGTGTCATGCATAACTTTCAGTACTGAAAGTGTACATTACACTCTTGAGAAGGTTGATATTAAACCTAAGTAAAATATCTGTGCTATCACAATAATTTGGGTTGTCTTTACAGAACAGATAAAAGGACCAAGTAGTAGAGGAAGGTTGGCAACAAATGAACATACAGAACAGATACAAAGGGTCCATATAAACAAAATGGATGGTGTAATGTGTATGAGCACAACGGTCCTATATAACTGAACCCACAAGTCCTCAGAGTCATACAACAACAAGCTTTCACTTAGTTAACATGGTTGTGGGTTGGCTGAGGTCGACTCATTCAGGCTGAGCTCAACTGGGGCAACTCAACTCTGCTTCATGAGTTGCTCATCTTTCTCACAGGCCTAGAAGGGTACGCCAGATGTGTTATTTCAGAGTCACGGCAGAGGTGCAAGAGGACAGGTAGAAGCACTAAAAAGCTTGTTCAGCCTTAGGTCATGACATGCCTGCTAACCCTCCACAGGTCAACGCAAGTCACATAGCCACAGCTAAGCTAAGGGTTGAGAAAATAGCACATACTTTTTGTGGGAGTAACTGCAAAGTCTCGTGGTGTGATGTTTGATTTTACGTGTCAACCAGACTGGATCACAGAGTGCCCAGACATTTAGTCAAACATCCTGGTGTGTCTGAGGGTGGTTTCCGGATGAGGTTAATATTTCAATTGGACTTCGACACGTGGCAAAGGGGTGAAGAATCAGGGCCGTTAATGCAACCTACCCAGGTGGTTGCCTAAATCAGTACCATTTAAAAAAGTAGATAAAGGTAGAGAAGGATGTTCAAAATGTAACACACGGACACACCCCCATGTACACATGTGTACGTACACATACACAGTTATCATGCAACAGATGCCACAGTTTGGTCAAGAGCACCAACAATAGTATTACTACCTTGGGCCCTGTGAGGACAGAGACCTTCATAGTGAAAAGCTAAGCAAAGACTGACAGGGAAACTATGCGTTCTTCTTCAACAGCAGCACAATTAAGGCAAATTCAGGCAGATGGGGGCTGAGGCGGTAGGTATTTCTATGTTTTTTCTTCTGTATTCACTGTAGGACTGGCTGCTAGAGGCTCCTTGGGAGCTCTGTGTGTTGATTAGATATCCGTTAGAAGTTTGGGTATGAAGGCATCTGGGTTAGGCAGGGGAGACAGATTCCAGGGCTTTGCCTGAGGTTTCCTTCTGAGGGAATCTCTCCAAGGGTCTCCTGCTTCAGGGCTTAGAGAACCAGCTGGGGTTGGACCTGGTTGAAGGGCCAGGAAGGGCAAAGTGCAGAGCACCGCTGGTCCCCTGCCACTGCCCTCACTCGTGACACATCCCACGCCACTTGTACTGAGCTGTAGATCTGTTTCGTCTAACAGTTTTTCCCATTCGTGCCCTATTATTTATTTTAGCTATCTTTATTTTCTTCTTTATTTTGATTTTTTTCTTTTACCATTTTATCATCTTGTTCCTTTTGATCAAGTTGTGATTATCTACTTTTTTTAAGTTTTACGTTTCTTTTTTAGCCTCGCTTTTATAAATGGCCACCGGAAGCTAACATCTCCGGGAACAAGAGCTGCACGTATGGGCTGTGACCCAGCCTTCCTCCCCACGTCAGGGCGACTCCCCGCAGCCGGCGCCACGTCTTCAGGAGCTCCACCTTGCGATGAGACACAGACACACAGCAGCTAGACTGCTGCAAAGCAGGTCCGGGAATGCAAGGGTACTTTCTCTCTTTATCTGTAACCTGCTCTGTCTAAAGCAGAAGATTTATAAGACCCCCCACCCCACGTCTTCATGAAGGTAAGTGGGAGGTGAGGGAGTGGAAATCTGGATCCCTCAGGAGGGCTACCAGGGGACAACTTGCTCCGACTCGCCTGCCAGGGCTGTAGGTGTTCTCTGTCCAAGCCGACTCCATCAGTCTTTAGCGTAGGCTGTCTGACACTGGCTATATTTACCATGGATTATTCTTGGGGTTCTTCTAAAAGACTGTGAATTTTATTGTTTCAGTCAAAGAATTCCTTGCCAGGAGGTGGGGACTATAATGCAAACTACCTGGAGCCCAGTTCTGGGGGCTCATTTGGACCAGCAGGATCTAGAAGCGGGTCTTCTTCTTCTTCTTCTTTTTAAGATTTTATTTATTTATTTGACAGAGAGAGAGAGAGCACAAGCAGGGGGAGCAGCAGAGTGAGAAGCAGGCTCCCCACTGAGCACGGAGCCCGCTGCAGGACTCGATCCCAGGACCCTGGGATCATGACCTGAGCCGAAGGCAGACGCTTAACTGACTGAGCCACCCAGGTGCCCCCAGTAGAAGCGAGTCTTCTTACATCTGAGTCTTTTGAGCACAGTTTGTCAATGCTATCTCACTTAAGTATCTAAAAAGGAAGGAAAATTAAATACTATTATAATGGGCATGGTGAGAGGAGACCAACCTTCCAAAGCAAATCCTAGTTTTCTGTCACCTACTCTGTGCCTCAGTTTCCTCATCTGTATAATGGTGAGAATGATATTACCTACCTCATCAGGTTTCTGTGAGGAAGAAATGTTACTATGATAGACAGTGCAAAAATATTTGTTCAATTAAGATTCATGCATACATATGTACTTACATGGGCTGTTATGTATTGCTTCATGACCAGTAATGACAGGACAAGAATGAGACTTGCCTTCTCTCTGAGACCTAGAAAGCCAGCTCAGGGAAGAGGTGATTATCTGCAACCAAGGAGAGATGTCTCACCGGAAATTAACTCTGCCGGCACCCTGATCCTGGACTTCCAGCCTCCAGAACTATGAGAAAATAAATTCCTGTTGTTTAAGTCACCCAGTCTGCAGTATTCTGTCATGGCGATCTGAGCAGGCATACTTCTGGTGTATCTTCCTCTCCTTATAAGGACACCAGTCCTATTGGATTAGGGCCCCCATCCTTATGAGCTCATTTAACTTTAGTTACCTCTTGACAGGCTCTGTCTCCAAGTATAGTTATATTGAGGGTTAGAACTTCCACACACGTATTCGGGGGGGAGGGTGGGGCACAATTTGGCCCACAGTACCATTCAAACACTACTTCCTTAAATACATACAGATGAGTAGAAATCCTTGCTATACACTCAAAATTATTAATAATTTTAAATTTATGTGTTCAATGGTTATCTCGCCTAGTAGACTGAGTTCAATGAGGGCAGGGACAGTGTCTATCTTCCTTGTCAGTATATACCCAATTCCCAGCATAGTGCCTTGCACGTGAAAGGTATGCAATAAATATTTATTTAATGAATAAATGGATTCATACTGCCATGCTTCTGTTTAAAAAAAAAAAAGTTTTGGATGTCACCACCTTCCCATATTGAGCCAGAGATCCTCTTGCCCTTTGGATACTTCCTTTGGACCAGCTAGATGCTCTCAAATATAGTGGGTTTTACAGCTGTTCAGGTCTCCTCAATTCCTATCTTACATAACCCTGCTTTACTTACTTTTCACAACGTGCCAGGAAAGAAAGAAGAAAAACATGCTTCTCAAAAAAAATCACACACCAGTTTTACTTGATAAAGTGGTCCATTTCAGACGGCCAGCTGTTCTCTGAGATTCTTCCTCTCAACCCTCTGCCTGCAGTGTCTCTGCTACCTATGAAATATCTCTTGAAAGCACCTGACCCTCACCTCCTCTGCTTTCCTATTTCCTCTCATCACTTTTTCCTACATTTCTGGTTATCCTAACTAGAGTTATCTATTTCTCCCTGAAATGTCAATCTGTTCTCCCATGTTGTAAACATGCTGTTTGGATAAAAACCAAAGTAATTAACACAACAAGACCCCCAAATCCCTAAATGGCTGCCCTCTGCCTATTTAGTAGCCTAATCTTGTGCTCTCCATTGCTCTCAGCACCAAGTTCAAACTCTTTATGACAGTTTATGAAGCCGTTTAAAAGCTGGACTTTTTAACTGTCCGGTCTCATCTTTCACCAGCTCAAATTACTTCCTTTCTTCTCAATTCCCCTAGCTCTTTCTCATCTACAGCCTTCGTAATGTAATTCCCTTTTTCTGGAATCCTTTCTCAGTTATCCATCTGGTTAACTCCACTTCTCTTGCATGCCACTCCACAGATGGCACTTCCTCCAGAAAAACCTCTCCATTCCCCAAATATGGGTCTGGGATCCAACACCTTATCCTTTTCCATCAGAGCAGTCATTATAAAACATCATTTCCTATCAATAAGGCTACTATTCTCCACTCAATCTAATTTAATTTTTCAGTTGTGGGGGAATTAAAATAATGTGTGCATATGTCCTGAAATCCATGGCAACAAAAGACAGCAGGATCTAGAAGCAACTGGAATCAGTAGATGGAAAGCCATTGAAAACTAAGCCAACCATTTCTTAGATACTACGCTTCTTCCCCATTGTGTCCCTGCTCCTCTCTTTATTCTTTAATGTTCTTATTTGCCTGCAGATTAGTTTCTTTGACCTCATTATGAGGCAAAAGTTGGCCTCCCTGTAGTTCTTGGCTTTTCATGTCCTTTGTTCCAACTTGACAGAGAAACAGATCAGGATAAAATTCTGATGGCCCAGCATGGGCAGGTGTCTGCTACTAATCCAAATATCTCTAGCCAGGGAAGCAAAGTCATATCATATGAACTTCTGTTAGAAACCTCAAATTTGGGGGTTGAAAAACAAATCTGAGAAATTTGCCTCTTGCTGGCCTTAACAGTGCCTTTGTGTGAATTAGAAAAAGCTGCCCTTCCACTGCAAAAGTTTAGTCCTGAATGTGGTGAAAATTATTATAAGGAGATATATATATATATATATATATATATATATATATATATATACAGATATATATATATATCTGTCCGTCTGTAATGAATAGAATGTAAATAGTACTCCCTAGATTTACAAGCTGTACAAATGTACCTATAAGCCCTGGTTGGGGTTCTCAACCAAGCAAACACCTCAACTAAACAGATACCTCAAATAACTTTCCGTAGTAAGTATTAAAAAATGAAAGCTATTATTGGCAACAATACTTCTATTTTGCAAATTGATTCAATCAAGTATTGCACAAAAGAAAGCTAAATTTATTGTATGAGATTGTAGAGAAAAAAATAGTCTATTTACACCAAACATATATTTGTTAGAAGGACCTCTCAGAGGTCATTTGTAAAAATGCGTATGTTATATGTACTGATCAAATTAGAAGATGATATTTTGATTGTTAATTCAAATTGTCAGTCACTAGAAGCCATGCTGGATGGAATTAGAAACTTATTCTATTTGAATCTTATGGGCTCAAAAACTCTACTAATTAAATGTGGCTCAATATCACATCTAACCTATTATCACTGTCTTTCTCCAATCGCCAGATTATGAAACTTCCTTTCAACAATCATATTTGTTTATGATTTTGTTGTGCTCGGTTGGTAACACACACACACACACTCCTTGTTATGGTTTAATCTGAAGATTACTTGCTGTTCTTTCTTGATAGTAGATGATGGGGTAAACAAGTTACAGAACACGATTTGGCATATGGAAAAAACTAAGGAGTTGAGAAACCAAGGCACCATACTAGTTGGCAGGAAGGGAGATGGTAGCAGATTTGAAATATTTTAGAAAGAATGTTGAATAATGGGTAAGAGATGATTACCAAGGGCTTATGTTGTCTTCTGCAAACACGACTCATACAATTACGCTTCTTTTAAAGAAAATAGGAGCTAGCACAATGCCATAACAACACTCAAATAAAAATAATGAAATCTTAATGCTGATGTGAAGGAGCAGTGCATGAAAGAGTAACTGATCAACTGAACTTAAAGTTAGAAATGCAGATAATCTGAATAGGTTCTGAAGTAGGTGAAGTCAGAGGCTCCAGTCTCCTCTGGGTTTGCTCATTTGCTGTGCAGCAGTCATGTTATAGACCGCATTCAAGTCTCTAATGCGCAGACATATTTGACAGTCTTCATAACATGCCTCTTAAATGGACTTTACCGGTAAAAAAAGGAATGCTGAAAACTTCCTTAAGCAAATTGCTGGCTAAGCTTCCTCCAGTCTGAGAGTGAGAGGGTTAAGTGTTGTGATCATAAACCATAAAGTAATTGCTCTCAGACCTATTAGCAGAATGTCTTGCATAGAGTGTCATCCTGCCATTCCCCATGGGTCCTGTTCACTAACCCCTTGCATTTTGACGGTTATTATCATCCAAGCACAAAACATCATTGCTACAACACAGAGCTATCCGCATAGTAATGTATCAACATTAACTTGGTTCCTGAAAATAATTGTTAAAATCCTGATTTTAATTGGAACATGGGATAAGAAAACCAAGCTTTTATATTTATTCTTAAAGGATGCTAACAATATTAATTTCTGCTGAGATCACAAGAAACACAACTATGTGCACCCTCTTCTGAGGCAACGTTGCCACGTTTATAGGAACTCAGGAGTCCTGGCATACTGCTTGTACACTCACTTCGAGAATATTGCTTGCACATCTGGCTCTCTTTAGGATTTTGTGACATGTAAATCATATACTGACAACTTCCGGGGATGCGGATTTTTCAGCAAAATGACGTCTTCTTTCCTAGCTCTTTTGCCATGATGCCTGCATTATAAAACCGCCCCTTTTATCAATATTTTGTAGCTCTCCTTTTTTCTTACAGATTTCTTCATTTATAGACTCAGGTCTATTGGCTTGTTTGTTTTTTTTTTTTCTACTCCTTAATTTTATTAGAAGGACTGACCGTTTTAAACCAAGAGTTTTCTGTTTAGTGAATTTGAATCCTCATTCGTTCTTTCATTAAATAAATATTTAT